CTTCCGAGCAACGCATTTTTTTACACTACTTCCGGAGGTTTTGCCGACTGATGTGGCAACAGTGCACGTCGGATGACAGAAATAACGTTTTTGATAACTTTTATTTGGTTGCACGAAATAACGGTAAATGCGTAGCAGAACATTAATTCGTTATTTTATATTAACGTTAAATACTATAACGGTAATCCAATAACGTTAATTTTCAGCTAGTTATTTTTAGGAAAATATTTAACGTTAAATATTTCGGGTTTGAAAATTAACGACCAAAAAAGCATAACGAAAAAAATTGTTATCACTGGAATTACCGTTACGAAAAAGTTAATGTTAAGTTAACACACCCTGCCTGGCTGCCAGCTCGTCTGTCCGGTTTGGGGGGACATTCCAGCTCATTTGCGCAGTAGTGTGTGAGCCGATTCGGTTCAAATTAGGTTTCCAGCGGTTTTCGAGGGTGCTGATTCCATTTCCGGTGTCGGATTTTACTTCCGGTTTCATCCTGGACCCTTTATGCTAACGCGATCCGTTACATCGCCCCCACAACACCCTGAAGATGAAACCGGAAGTAAAATCCGACTCCGGAAATGGATTCAGCGCCCTCGAAAACCTCTGGATACCAACTTTGAACTGTATCGGCTTACACACAACTGCGCAAATGACCTGAAATATGCCAAACCGGACAGACGAGCTGGAAGCCATGGCGGCCATCGGCTCCGCCGACCCCCGACGGCGCGCTTTCATTGGCTCGGGAAAGCGTAGTTTTGATCGCAGAACTACGCGGAAAAGACCATGACATGGGGAAAACACTCAGGAATCCGATGGGCTCCTCGTCGTTCTCGCAAGATGAACATTTTACGAGCCATTCGGTTTCCCGGTCAGAAAAGCGGGTATTCGGCGCTGTAAAGCTTTTTCTCCTGTGCGCCCTTCTCTCATGGCTCCGCCAACCTCACGGCCGCGGAGTTCAAGCAGGTACGAAAGCTGGTCGTCGAGTTCCTGGACACCTTTTCGTGCGGAGGGGCAGATCGGTCATTGCTGTGGATCGACGACACCCTGGCTCCCCCCAGAGGCGCCGGACATCTCCTCCCGTCTCGGTAAAGAATTTGTGGGGTGGAGTGGGTCGACGGCTCCTTGCAAAAGCATACGTTCTTTACGGTACGCGTCTTAACCATACGATCTATCGAGATCTATACGGTACGTCTCTAAAACATACTATCTGTTTTCGGCGGTTTTCGCTTTCATATATTCGGCAGCCGTTTGGGAATGGAAGAAAGTTATTAAACATTCATTTCTCGGTATCAGGTGAAAGTTCGATCTTCCCTCTTTGTATTCCGCCCATAAAAACAATAAATTTTTGCCCTCAAATCTGGTAAATAGGCTATCAAAAATATGCTTGCAAAAAAAGCTAAAAACGGATAGTATGTTTTAGACACAGACACGTATCGTACAAAACGTATGTTTTAGACGCGTATCGTACAGAACGTATGCTTTTGCAGGGAGCCATCGGGGTGGAGTGGGGTCGGGTTGCGGTGATAAGACGTCCGGCCACCACCGGCGCTCGGCAAGGGCCTAACGAAGGCAAAACAATCCTTGGCTACCACTGCGGTGGTGGCTGGCGAAGCAGCCCCACGTAATTTGCCATCGGGCACCGCGACGTCTTGGTGCGCGGCTGAGCATGGGCCGGAATAGGCAGTGCTCCCTCCACGTCTAATATACACTCGTCAAAACAGTTAGCGGTCCACTTTTTTACGCGTGGATTAAATTATCTGCCCTAGCACCTAGGAAGTCGAGATTTCACATAGACATGCACCCGTGTGTGTAGTTTAACACCCTCGAGCGCGAATGTCGTGCGACACCCCTTAGGTCGTACGCATCCCCTAATGATCACAAGGGTGGAAAAGTCGAAAAAAACGTGAAAGTTAGGGTAGAAGGGGGTGCCGGAAGTGGCTAAAATTTGGTGTACGTGTGTCCTAGGAACCAATTTGAAGGTCCGAAATTCCTTGACTTTTGTGCAAATTTAATGGATTATTGACGAGTCCAACAATCTTCTCGTCAAAATTTGCAGGATAGGCAACGAATTTCGGATG